ACTGCCGCGTGGTCGCTACCACCCGCAACGTCGATGTCTTCGACGTGGTGTCTGATGACAAGAAGGTAGTCCAGATGCTGCCGTATGGCTTCACGCTGATCGAGACGGTGAAAGCGTTCGCCTACTGGCTCGGCGACCCGACCCTCGCCGAATTGCCACCTGAGGCAATGCAGATCTACCAACGGTGCAAAGGAAACCCGTTTTTCATTAGTCTCGTCGGGTCATTGATTAAAAACAACCGCAACAGGTTCGTTCGATCTGTTAATTTTATTTCGTACCCCTCTCCCTCCTTCCTTTAGTAATGCGACGTTTAGATGGTCCTACTACCTGAACCACTTGAATTACGGCCGGCTAAGCGACATCCGGCACCTGTCGCAGTACAAATACTCAACATTTACGGACACAATGCTGCCGAGTCTGGAGAATTTACAGGCTGACCTGAAAGCTTCCTATTTTGAACTCGGAGTGTTTCCGTTGGGAGCACAACTGAACTCACATGTATGATCGGTTTCATCGCGTTTTTTGGCCTGCTACTCTCAAATAAGTACCAAAAAATCTCTCGTTTCTCTGGAAGATGGGTTTTTCTCAATGAAATTGTGTTTAAATTGAAGTTTTCATTACGAAGGCTATTTTTTAACTTTAAATTTGCGGTTCACACATTGTGCTGCTTTTTAGTCAGTTGTCAGACAGTATGGCATCTTTTCTCACACATTCTGGCATGGTACACCAGAACACCGTGCACACCTAATTTTTTGTGGAGTTACTTCCTGTGTTGATTTTTACACTGAATAGTAAGCTATTAGGTGAGTCAATGTGGAATGCAGTCACAAGGGCGCTTACATTAGACAGCATGGCTGTAACTTTTTCTATTCTGATATGACAACACCAGAATACCGTGCTGTTCCTGTCATTGGCAATTTACGGACTTGCTACTCGTTTCTTGGCTGGTTGCGTCGATGCTGTATGGGGTAATTTGCTTGCTCAGTGGAATTCATGGAAAAAAATTGTCTCTTGAGCGGATTCGGACCCGGCACTTCCGGAGCTTAAATCTTATCTCTGAGGCACTGTGCCACCCCGCCATTAAGCTGCATTGGCACGCGGAGATGGTTACCTAATTCAGTTCGACGGGTGTTCCATTGGAACGCTACCTTAAATGTTGCTATTTTTATGGTTCGCTAGATTTTACCATAGCTGTAAACGGTATATTACATAAGGGAATGTTTAGTTGTTGACATCTTGTAATTTTGCTGTCAATTCTGGATCTGTGACCGATTAATTGAACATTTTCTTGTTATACTTTTAGGATACTTAAACGTAAATAAACTACGAAATGGTTTAATTTAATCGTCGTCATTTTAACGTTAACCTCATCAGTTAATCGCCAGACAGGGTGGCCCGTCAATCGAAATTATAGAATCCCGCTGGTGTTGGTAAACCTGATCGAAGTTATGTATGGAGGGACTAAACTGCGCCACCTCAGTAGATGGTCATTGTTAGATAGATTGGTTCATGGTCGCCAGTAGAGTTCATTAAAGCGAGGGGTTCTGTTCTTTGTTGCTTAACGTCATGACGGAGTCTCTTATGCGGAATGGCATCATCCCAGTTTACAACGAAGAATTGGCTGTCAGTCAGCAACGCTGGGCAAGATATCCGGCTGTATTTCTAACGGACTTTGAGTACACCGATGACATCATGCTGGTGAGTGACTGTGCAAGTGGCTTACTGAGAATTTCCAAAAGCTGCAACACTGGTATGAGGATCGGACTTCAAGTTAATGCAAAGACGAAGAGTATTATGGCACCCACTGCGACCGTCAACCCAAGGACAATATGAGATGATATTACTATGGACGTGTTTATCATTTTAACTACTTGAGAACTATGCTCACTAACGATAACTACAATGGTTCTAAAGTGAATCGGCGTATCAGACTGGG